ATCATTTTGAGGAGAAATAAGTAATATTCCTGCTCCTGCTCCAGAATCTCTAGATGCTCCATCAACATATAATACCCGGTTAGGCGATAAAGAATATAATGATCCAGTTGTATTGGAATTGTACACTCCACCATAAAATCAACAAGTATTTGTGATTTGATATATGGTCGGGGCATATGGCGAATATCAAATTCTCTCAATTTTACTGACCATTTGACTAATCGCCCAGAAGTTTTATGTTTTTGAAGGATAGTTTTAAGAGGAAGTTGTGTATAGACACCAATCATGTGAGCTTGAAAATATGAGCATAATTTTCTTGCTGAAAATATCAATATCAAAGCCATTTTATCTGCCAATTGATATCTCCCCTCCATATTAGAAAGGAGAAATTGCAAGATACAAATACAGAACTTCTTCTGAAATTGATTTTGATAATAAAGGCGATGAAGCTAGATATGTTTTTAATTGTTCAAAAGTAGTTTGACACTAGTCTGTCCATTGAAAGCCCTTCTTAAGAGCACCCTTAAGTATCTTGAAAAATGTTAAATATTTATCTCCCAATCGAGCTAAGAAGCATGATAACGTTGTTATCCTTCCGTTAAAGCGTTGTACATCCTTTATGCTTTTTAGGATATATTTTGTATAGCTTTAATTTTCTCAGGATTGGCTTCAATTCCTCGATGGATAACCATGAACCCTAAAATTTTTTCAGATGTGACTCCAAAAGCACATAGTGGGATTAAGACGCATGCTATAGCGTCTAATAAGCTGAAAGCATTGTACCAAATCCAAAAGATGATGTTTACTTTTATAAGTTTTTACCAACATGTCATCAACATACACTTCCATTGTAGGCCCAATAAAATTTTTAAAACTTTACTCATTAGACATTGATAAGTTACGCCAATATTTTTTAATCCAAATGACATGAGTTGATAACAGCAAGGTTTAAAATTGCGTATTCGGGTATTGAGGCATTTTTCGTTCGTGAGGCGAGGCGTAAGCCTCAAGGCGATTTGAGGCGTAAGCCTCAAAATCAAAAAATTGCGTAAACATAAAATAATAAATTTTGTATATACTAATGAGTAAATAATATATAAAACATAAAAATGCACCAGATAAATAGCAATGACATTAACATATCACATAAGAAGTTAGGAACTCACTAGTCATTAGCATTATCATCACTCATCAGTCATCACTAAGGGGGTCTTCATTTGAATCATCATTATGATGAGCTGCTCTCTCCTCTTTCCCCTCTCCTATAGAGTCCAATATCTCCCAATCAGCTTCTT